CGGTAAGACTTGGTGCTGCCTTCTTCATGAGTTCCAAGGCACATGTGTTGAAATAAAGCAAAGCAAAACATGTCTAATCACTTTAACACGTACCCATTATTCAGGCATACGTTTTGCAAGGATTTTTCTTGAAAACCTAAAAGATTCTCTCTTTTTTTCCCCATCATTTCCAGCATTCACTTCATGCTGTTTTACGACTTCTTTGCAGCTGCAGCCAGCACTCGGAGAACGAAGAACCCGCACCGCTCTCAACACAGCAGCCTGGTGGGAGCAGTGATATTGCTTGATTTCTTTACGCCTGGTGCCCGTGATCCTTTAGGAAGTGCAAATGAACTTCAGCAGAGCTGTGTTTCCTCGCCACACAGCTCAGCGACCACCCCGTCGCAATACCAACACCAAATTAATCTTGCAAACGTTTAAGAACCTGAGAACTGAGTTAACACTTGAAACCCGCAGCGGGGCAGAGGCAGGACTGACCTGTGCTTCCTCCCTGCCAGCAGCAGCATCGCCATGCCCAGGGGCAGCAGCGCTACTCCACTTTGAGCTTCGTTTTTATGTTCATGGCTGCCAGCTCTGCCACGAAGTACCGGAAGACGTGGGGCACAGGGACAACCTCGATGGCATCCACCTCGCTGCAGACAGAGCAGGAGTACCTCCTGCTGCTTGGCATGGAGGAAGAGTGGGGCTGTTTCTCCAGCACGGGAGATGTCATGCTGCCACAGCTCGTGCACACATAGGCGATGGAGCCATCAGAGCAGTTGAACAGCCGGTCTTGCAGCAAGAAGGAGGTGCCATGAGCCAGCAAAGCATCTCGTTCCATCTCACCGAAGCGAATCCCACCTTCCACGTTCCTCCCTTTGACAGGCTGGTTGGTGACAGCATCTCGGGGCCCCGTGGTCCTCACCTGGAACTTGTCCGAGACCATGTGGCGCAGGCGCTGGTAATACACCACTCCCACAAAGATCTCTGCCTCCAGCTCCAGGCCGCTGATGCCACTGTACATCTTTTCTGTCCCAAAGAAGTTATAACCAGCACTCGCTAAAGTCTCACCAAAGTACTTCAGGGCAGAATTCTTCTCTGTGAAGGTGAAGGGAGTGGCGTCGTAGGAGATGCCGTGCAGCGCCGCTGACTTCCCCGCCATGCTCTCAATTAACATCCCAATGGTCATGCGGGAGGGAAAGCCGTGAGGGTTGAAGAGGATGTCTGGAACCATCCCGTTCTCGGTGAAGGGCATGTCCTCCGCTGGCCAGAGCTGGCTCAGGATACCTTTCTGTCCGTGACGGCTGGCAAATTTGTCTCCAATGGTTGGATTCCGGGGAACCCTCACGGTGATACAAGCCTTCTTGAACTTCCCAGTGCCACGGTCATTGCTGCATAACCTGACGTTGTCCACAATGCCAACTTCCTTACTCCTGTGTATGTGGGGAAAAAACAAACATAGCAAAGCGGTCAGGGGGCTAATTTACTGTTCTGGAAAAGTACTATTCAGTAGCCAGAGAATGAGGGCAAGGAAGCACCACAGTGGCATCACACAAGTGCCATTAAGTTGCTTTTCTCATACTAGAAGCACAGCTACAACTTCAGGTTATTTAAAATAAAGATCATTTGAACCTGGTTCATCTGCATCCTACTTTATCCGACAAACTGCATCCCAGTGCCAGCTGATTTGTGTCAAGGCAGCAGCCCTTCTCCCTACCCTCAATACATTCAATACCATCTTGGTGGGATATCAAAATAAAGATCCAGGTTTGGTGCAAAGCAGAGAAGAAAGTTCAGAGCAGAAAGGGAAGGCACAGTGTGAGCTGAGAGGGCTTTGCCAGCAAGTCCCTTGTCCCGGGGCATGCTGCTTCTCCAGATGACTCCTCAGCCTGGTGCTCCATGTGCTAGGGGTCTTCTGCAGGCTGAACTGGTGTTCTAGAATTTTCAGCCCAAACTATCCCCTGGTTTTGGAGACAACAGCTAAGGAATAAATATATTTTGTCCCATGTTAGGACAAGGTCACTGTTCTTTCTCTCCTTTAAAGTCCTAATGAACACAGTGTTTGCCTAAGTTTGGCTTTTGTTTGAAAGCTGTATTTTGCTGTGTCCAAGTGCAACCAGGGTACTGGCCATCACCACAAACACCCCAAACTGTGCTTCATAAGCCTCTTCCAAGTTTGTTCAAACTTTTGAAGTCAAAGAATCTCTCTTCCCTCTCTTCCAAGCCCCACATAAAATCTAGCAATGTATGCAGCACTTAGGACAGTGGGGAGAACTCCCTCTGAAGGACCCTGGGGTTTTTTGGCAAATGAGGGGCAGGACCCAACTCTGAGAGCTGGGAAACTCACATCTCTGTAGGAATTCTAAGTCTGATTTGGACCAAGAATGAACAAAAGCTGGATGGTAGAGGTAAAATGTGTCTCCGGATAAGGAACCAGAACTAAGACTGGGCTGCCACGAGAGAGCTGGGGAGCAGAAGCACGGGGTGGGAAAGCCAAAGGGCTCCACAAGTGCAAGGACAAAGCTGAGCTTCCACATCCCCACTACCATGTGCTGAATCTCCTTACTCTGCTCTACAACCAGGATGACTGAGTCCACAGCAGTTTCCCCAGTGCAGCTAAGGCACCGTTAGGCTCTGTTAAAGCAATAACCAACAGCTTTCCCAGTAAGACCACTTAGTGTGTTACTCAAGTTCTTCTCAAACTAATTTGCCTTCATAATGCTACGCAGCATTATCCTCACTCTGTCAATGCTGTAGAGACACATGTAAGGCCTGAAGTTGTACAGACTGCACGATGCACTTAAATGTGTCAGGTTTTGTCAATGTTTTTGTTTCCCTTTCCTGAAAGAATTAAGAGGGTTTAAATTAAAGCCTCAGCAGCCTTCCCTCTTTCAATGGAAGTTCAGAATCAATCTGACAAAACTTATCCCTGAAATATTCCATGGGGGAAGAAGGAATACTGTTGACACAATTTAATGTACTAGCAGTTTGGAAGCTGCAATGTTAATAGAAATGCTCTTCGAACCCCCTAATCCTGTAACAACTTAGAATTATAAAATGGTTTGGGTTGGAAGGGACCTTAAAGCTCATCCAGTTCCAACCCCCTGCCACAGGCAGGGACACCTTCCACTAGAGCAGGTTGCTCCAAGCCCCTGTGTCCAACCTGGCCTTGAACACTGCCAGGGATGGGGCAGCCACAGCTTCTCTGGGCACCCTGTGCCAGTGCCTCAGCACCCTCACAGGGAAGAACTTCTTCCTAATATCTAATCTTTGCTTACAAGTTTTTCTGGCAAGTCTCTGGGACCAGGAACTTTGTTTTGGTTTTCTGTTTGGTGGTGTTTTAGCCGTTTCTTGTGGACAGAAGCCCTCATGCAAATCAATTCAAACAAAGCTACAGAAAATGACTACAGGGCTTGAGCAGAGGAACAGTCCTTGGGAGACAGCGAAACATTTCTGCAAGCTCTTTCTTTTTACTGGCCTCAGATTCTCCTCCTGGGATAAGAAGCTCTGCAGCATATGCTGGCTTAGAGAAAAGCCGTGACACGTGCATGGGAGTCACCTACAACATGAAATTCACTCTCTGTCAGGACATGGACACTATCACCTGAGGAGAGAAGGGAACATCTGGAGAAGATACTGCAGCTCATCAGGACCGACTGCTCTCAGACTGGTGTGTGGAGCCAGGAGGGACAAGGTGTACTTACGAATAGTACACAGTGAAGGTCTCCCCTGTGTTGAGGTTCATGAAGCTGTAGAAGGGGTCCCCAGGCTGTAGGATGGAGCCAACAAAAGGAAGTCCATCACCATCCAACTTCTCTGAGACATTTGGGTCACCAGGCTTGATGCCAAAGACTAAATTATCGCCTGCCCTACTGGCTTTAAGGGAAAGGTCAATGCTTTCCATCTTGATAACGCTTCCGTAGGCAAACCCTCTCTGCCAGGAAGATCTGTTCACAATCTACAAAGAAATAACAAAGGCTTATTACAGACTTGATGGTAACTGCAACACAAAACACATTTCCATTCTCATCTGATGCTTATGCTTTTATCATTGCCTTCCTAAACAAAGCCTCCCAGCAAGTCACTGTTCCAAAAGGCCCAAACCTCCTGGAACCCCAGTATTTCTCAATGCTGGAAGCCCACCGCCTTGCACAAGGGAGCTCTGCTCTGCTCTCAGTACTTCCAGCATTACTTGCTGTAACAACACTTGACCACTGTGCTCCTAGATCTGTCCTAACAGAGTCTGTGGACTAGCAAAAGAAGAAATCAGGCTCTCCTCAGTTAGATATCACCCTTCCTCCCAGTCCCTTTACAGGACAGCAGGATTTCTCCTTCGGTAGCTTACCATCGCATCTTCCATGTCATAGCCACTGTAGGAGATGACAGCCACAACTGAATTGGTGCCAACTGGATAGCTGTCCATCCCGTAATAGTCATACATGCTGGGCCGCACGAGAGGGCTCTGGGGAGTGTGAAGGTGGTACAGCTTGTTATCCGAGCGATCCTTGTAGTTATAAACCGGAAACCCCATGGTTTGCTTTCCTGTAAAGAAAGTTGGATTTACCCAGGATCAGGTCAAAGTTAATCTATGTTTCATTCCCCATGTATCTGGTTAGGAAGAAAGCTGGAAATATTTACAATGTAGAGGGATTATCAATCTTAAAACTCTTGGAAATTAGTATGTGCCCGAAGTCCAGCTATAAAAGGTTCTATGAACCTCAACGCTCAATTCCTTTCATAGCATTTCCTAAGGACTAGTTGTAATTTTGTGTCTCTTCTGCAATTTCAGTATCTCCAATAAGATTGGTATGGTGGGGTTCGGGTTTTTGCTTGGTTCATTTTTAATTTGGTTGGGTATTTTTTAACTCTCCCCATAATTTCCCATAGCGAGGCACACCTTACATTTTATGTCCAGGCCAGAAAAGTGTTTGCTTTTGCAGTACAAATATGCTGGCAAGGAAAACAAGTTTTGAGCAATAGTCACATCAGTACTTTCAGATAAGTATGAAAAAGTAGTAGCAGTTTAAGGATATCTTTCTGCTCATATTGCCAGGAATGTAATATGCCAGTGATGCTATCAAAATAATGAGATTTCTTCTCTCGAATTCCCAACCCACATTCTCTTAGCCTCGGGTTTTTTTGGTTTTAATAAGCTTCTGCACATCTCTTGCACCTCAGCTGATTGAAGCCCCACTACACAGAATCAACGAGGTTGGAAAAGACCTTTAAGATCACCAAATCAAACTGTTACTGGAGGACTGCCAAGTCCACCACTAAACCATGTCCCTAAGGGCCTCATATCCTATCTCTACTTCTTTCAGACAAGCAAATCAATCAATTTAAATCTTTGTCATATTCTTGTCAGGAAAAAAACCCCTACTGTGCCGCCACAGTGCTGTATTCTCTTGCAGCAGATGCCTGGCAAATGTCCTCTCAACAGCTGCAGTGTCAAGACAGCACTCACTCAGTGAAGACAGGTGGCAAGGAAACCTCACCCTGAGCACTGCAGAGCACCTACCGTACCCACCAGTGAGAAGTCAGTTAGCCTCTGCTGGTTGTGGGGATGAGAGGACTGCTGGCAGCACAGCTGTCAGACACTAACACCACCACACAGCTGGTGCAGTGCCCTTTGCTTGTCTATGTGATCAGCAATATCTAAGTAAGAAAAAAACAAACCAGACTTACTGAAGGGCAATGGAGCTGGTGCAGGGCCTGGAGCACAAGTGTGATGAGGAACAACTGAGGGACCTGGGGGGTTTAGTCTGGAGAAGAGAAGGCTCAGGGGGCACCTTATCCCTCTCTACAGCTCCCTGAAAGGAGGATGGAGCCAGGAGGGGGCTGGTCTCTGCTCCCAAGGAACAAGGGACAGGACAAGAGGAAATGGCCTCAAGCTGCACCAGGGCAGGTTTAGGCTGGATATTGGGAACAATTCCTTCCCCAAAGGGGCAGCTGGGCATTGGAACAGGCTGCCCAGGGCAGTGGTGGAGTCACCGTCCCTGGAAGTGTTCACAAACCATGTAGACGAGGCCCTCAGTGACATGGGTTAGTGGTGGCCTTGGCAGTGCTGGGAACGGTTGGACTGGATGATCTTGAAAGTCTTTTCCAACCCAGCTGATGGAATGATTCTATGACTGCAACAACCTAGAATGCCCTCCAGAAGGCAGCCAGAATGATAAACTTGCCTTCATTTACTTTGCCATGTAAAAAAAAAAAAATCATGGATGTTCATCAACCTTAATGTTGAAAAAGCAGCTGAAAAGAGCTTTTATTTGGGAATGTGGGAAGACACACTGAAATAGACATGTGACACATTTTTCCCCTCTCCCTTGCCCAGACACTTGCAGCATTAGGTACCACAGCACTTACCCATCTGGCACTGGTACATGTTCCGTGGACTTTGGTTATGGTCGGAGAAGGGAATGAGGTTGGCCACTACACTCAGAATGCTGTGAGGGAAGAGCTCCTGGTGAGTGGTTATTCCAGGTACCACCTCTGACTCTATTGTGGCCACGTTCATGAAGATCTGCAAGCATCAAATTGGACAATGCTCATTCACTTCCTTCTTTTAAAGGGAAGAAAGCAACACAAAGCTGCCTCCCAAGTCTTTTTATCCACTTCAGTCCTAGCTGTGGTCATTGCCTGCACCTTAGTGTATTAGCAGGCAAGAAGAATATCAGATAGTTGTTAAACTGCCTATCACAATCACAGACCAGCTGCAAGGAAAGCAAGTCTGGAAATACAAAACTGCAGTAACATGTCCTTCTTCCTGTTTCCCATTTTAATTGTTCCAAATGGCCCAGTTCCCCAGCATCCACTGCTTGGCTACCCATGGGCAATTTGAAGAACATGATGTAAAACGAGATGAGACAGTACATACAAGACAGCAAACCTGCACCTCAAAAGCTCCGCTAAGAGCAGATTTCCATCCCTCAAAAAGATCTCTACAGTCCAGCTACAACATTTACCAGAAGCCAATGAGCAGGAGGTGTGAAAACCCTTTCGCCACCTACGCCAGCTCTTCAACACAAGCTCCTTATGTCCCATCTTCAGCTCCTTTCACAAATATTTTCCAAAACTGTGCTTTTGATGCTGGGCACCTCTGTAACAGCCAGTGCTTTATAAAGGAAATACTCAATTCCCACCTGTTCCAGAGTACCAATCCATTCATTCCTTCCATACATCAGGTTTCTGACAGGCCGCACCATCCGGCAAGGGGTAGTAAAAATGAACAACCCAGGATACAGGCTGGGTTTTCCTGTCATTGGGATAAGGACCACTTCTGCCCGTGCAGGAAATCTCTTTTCTTGTGTTATCTGTTTGTGCAAAAAAAATACCAATTTAGAAACACAAACCTACACTGGTTTAGTTAAGCTGCATCCAACAGGCTACACAATGCAAATGCCAACCACAGGTGTAGCTGCTAATATAAAATGGTGGAGAGGAGATTTTCCAAACACTTCAAGAAAAGGACAGAGTATGTCCATCTTTGAGAAGAATTCCTTCTCAAAAATCATGATTCCATAAGGCAACAGACCAAATATATGGATATAAACAAGAAAAACAGAAAAGCCCGCTCCAATACCAATATACAGCCAAAGATAACATTCTGGGTCACATTAAAACAAGAGAGAAGAGTTCCAAACATGCCTATTTTTGACTGCTGCATATTAAGCATGTTCAGCTAAGAAGCGTTTTAAAGAAGACAACCTTGAACCAGCGGAGGGTTTCTGCGATCCCAGGAGCCAGGTCCCACTCTACCCAGCCCACCACAGAGCCATCCAACACAACTCTGTAGCACTCAGTGTAAGGCTTGCTTGGAGTCGCATCCAGGGGGGTGACACCTGTGGGAAGAGGGGTTGGTAGAAGGAACAGCCCAGAAAAGCAAACAGAACACAGGAGTTGTGTCTGCAGGAAGCCTCAGGGCACGCTAAAATGCTTTCTGAGACATCCAAAACTTAAGACCTAGAGGGCAAAGCTGCAGGTGGAAAACATAAGACATGCACAACTAAGAATGCAATTCCCCTGCCCGTTTTTCTGACTGGAATAAGGATTCTCATTATTGTGGTCATCATAAGCGAGCTACAGTTTAATGCAAGTCACCAGCAGCATCAGAAAGTCCCTGCTTGGTCCAATTTCTCAGAGCTTAGAAGCCCTGAGCACAGTAGACTGTGCAATTCCTTGTGCTTCATAAACATCTTCACTCTACAGCACACACCTTAGACACATTTACCTTGAACTTTACACTCTCCAAAAGGTCGACACGCCTCTAAGAGCAACGTGCTACTTACCACTAAGAACCAGCACAGTAAGTACAGGTTTAAATTGATTTCACCTTCTCTAGTGAAAGTGGGAGTAGCTTTCCCACATACAGGTTTGCAGGGCAGAAAGGTAAAAAGGAAGTCTGCTGCATTAAATGATCAAGCCAGTAAAACATACCCAGGGAACATAACAAAGGTGGGATGTCCCTCACAGGCACCATCTCGGTCACTATTTCACACAGGGCTGTCATGTGGTTCATGAGCCCGCAGGGTTCTCCATCCGGGGTGTCCACAGGGCACAGGAAGCCCCAGGACTCAGGCAGCAGCTTGCGGACTGTTGTAGTTCTCATCTGGGAAAACGCGGCTCCTCTGTGTACGCAGCGGAAGTGGGAGAGGTACCGGACAAAATTCAGCTTGTCTCCCACCACACACAGACCGCTGTCCTGCAACATGCCCAGGCCTTGGGAACAGAAGTGAGATTTATGTCAGGGTGTTGTTCAGCTTTAACAGATAAAGTGTGATGTTGCAAAGCAGTTTCTTGGTTTTCACTGATGAGCCCTAAAGGTGCTCACAGCACCAGGTTCCAAACAGCAGAAGGCACACATGCTGTTACTTGTGCACAGGCAACTCGGTGATGTGCAAGAGGTCGAGAGACTTCATATTCCAAGCAATTGTTCAAAAATCTAACTCCTTTCCAGCAGACAGGAAAGTCATTCCCAGGGAAGTGACTTGGGGATCTGCAGCTGGTATATTTTACTGAAATTCTGTGGCTTTCCCATCTCATTTCATTTTCTAGTGGGCATTCCAGCCCAACATCACACTGGACACTTCATGGAAGCACCAGGTAAATCTGAAATACATGTTAGCAAAGCAGTTTCTCTCACATGACCAATAGGGCAGTCCTGATAAATGCCCCTTCTCTGCCTTACATTCCACCTTCTAAGAGGAGACAATCTTTGGGAAAACAAATCACAATATGGTTGCTGTTTTGGACAATGCTAAATTTAGTTTCAACTATTTATCTGCATAGTGGCTTTTTATACCATGCATAAAGGCTATGCTTGAGGAGAAATCTTGCCTTTTTCCTCAACTATCCTTTTCCTTAACCACTTCCCCTGATTCAGTCTGCATACACAATACCTGCATACACAACACAATATCTGCATACAAGCAGTTGCTTTCAGTTAAGAGCTCAGTTTTATGTTGTTTCTCATCCTATTTAGAAGGGAAAAAAAGAAAAAGGCTTCTTAAGCCTGAAGATTTACCAGTTTTAGATCGTAGGTTACCAGTTGCAAGCAGGTATTCAAAGGGCTTGGTAAAGTCCGTGGCCAGGCTGAAAGCCTTCACCAAGCTGTCTGCATTTATGCTGACATCAGCCTTTTCTGATCTTTTCTCCAGAACGAACTTAACAGACTGCAACCAGCTTTCAAGCCTCTCCTATGGTTTAAAAGTGAGAGATTCACGTTTAAAACAGGAAAATAAAAGACTCAAATTAGAACTTCACATCACTTGCATGTACTACTCTTCCACAACGATTTTCATGGGATAGTCCAGCTTCTGGACAGGAATGCTTTCCCCCTGGCACCCTAAAATGAGGAATCCCTAGAAATAAACTGAATTAATATTGAATTGAAATAGACCAGGAAACCACATATTTACATCACCAGTAAGAGATTCACTGTGTAAGTCAGAAGCCTGCTATCAACTTCCTGATCTGTAAAGGAATTTCAAGATGGGACAGTGATGACACCATGAATCATCACTTTTGGAAGATGGGGAAAGCTATTTTCTTGTACATTTGCCACATGAAAGAGCAGCAAAATCAGAACAAGGCAGAGCTTTACCACTCCTATGTCAACTGATGCAACAGAAGTATGCTGTTTCAAAACCCTCTTAAAGCAGCGGAGGGATCAGTATTCCTCCTTCCTCAGACTTCCACTCTGAATGGGTCACTTTGATTTGCTCTGGAAGGCTACAAAGCTCTTTAATCCAGGTTTTGTTCAGGCTTTTCTGCAGCATATTGAGTACCTTATACTGAGACACCCAAGCCTTCCTCAACTCACTGCCTGCTTGCACTACCTCAGCACTCTCTCAAGCCTGCATAGCATATCCAGGCTCCCTGCTCTTCAGTCTGGCTCCTGCACTTCTCCCCATGGTCACTGTGGAGTCTGGACTGTATGACCATTACATTCACAGGTTTAAATCCCGTAAGACCTTACCCTCAAGAACATAAGGAAAAGCTGTCCTGGGGTAAGCACTTCTTGGTTCATCAGACTGTCTGGATTATCCTCCATGCATTCCCCTTTGGCAAAGGCATACAGCTTCCGGGTCATCATGCAGAGCAGGTAGAACTTTTCTGTTCTGTTTGTCAGGTGGATGCAGATACACTTGCTGGAGGAAAAGAAAGGAGGAAGATACCTAACACCATCTCTTCATGCTAGCTGGTCTTCAAGTTCCTCCTAAACAATCACAAACCAAGGTGGGTTTTTTTTTGCTAAAAGGCCCAACAAGGCACCAGCTTTTCCAGTTGCCCTTAGTAATGTATGAAAATACCCAGAAATAATACAAAAATCCCAGAGACTGAGCCAAAACATTATCCACTTAAGGTGCTAGTTTTGTTAAGGATGTATCTGGTTGATCAGATAAAGATAAACCTTGTGAAAGATTGATTTTATACACTTCCATGTTAGATGTCCTTGTAAGTATACAGTTTATGTAGCAGATACTCCAGTCGGGGCCAGTCAAAGGATGAGGTTTGAATGTTATTTTACAGTAGCTATGACATTAATCATATACATGCACATATTCACACACGTGCACCCAAATCTGAGCTGGAAACAAGCAGCAAATCACAAAATAATACTATTTACACTATCGGTGTCCTGCCACAGAAAGTCTAAATCTCCACTGCTGGTCTTCATCAGCTGGTCTCTGGACTTTTAAGCACCCTCTGTGGCACCTGCAGGCTGCCCTTGGGTTTCCAGCCACATGACCACCCCCTATTTACAAGTACATCATCCCAAATAATCCTTTTCATGTGCTAAAAGAACCTCTCAAAAAGCTTACACCTACTGAGTGCCTGTGACACTGACAGGCTCAAAGCCAGCTCTTCCTTTCTAACTTACCCCATGGAAGAAGCAAGATTTTAAAGCATCTAATTTCTACCATTTTAAAAGATCAATGTAACTGTTGTCAGAGGTGTCAGCAACTGTGTGAAACTGATGAAGTGCCACAAATTGCAGCATTTCTGTTCAACAAATAGAGCCTCAGTCACCTACCTTCTCTTCCTTAATCTTTATGTTTTTCATCAAATACATCAGAAAATCACCTCTATATAACAACTGATACCCTCTCCCAAAACTATTTTAGGGATACTTGTGTCAATCCATTAAAATATATATTTCTGAATCCCATGAATACAGCATCATACCTGTATATCATAGCATCCTGGAGCACCATCAAAAACTGGCCACTGGTTTTATAAATGTACATGAAAACTACAACAAAGTGGGATGTATGTAATATGGCAGAGTACTTTTAAATCTGCCTGTAATTTCAATACAACTACACCAAATCACACGCTTCTATATGCATACATACTTCAAAATTAAATCTGCAGCCTGTCCATTGCTGTACCACTCAGGAAGGTTGAGTTTTATTCTGAAGCTCTTTCCCAGGTATTCAAGGACATTTTGCTGTGTGTAACAGCCTGCATCCACCACTGCTCTCATCATCTCCGTAACACAGTTCACATAAAAGGTGTCATCTTCCTTTCCTTTGACCAACTCTTCAAAAATCTGGTAGTCTGGGAAATTAACTAATGCCTGAAAGACAGAAGCATATTGGGTCAGAAAAACAAAGTCATAGCAACATCAGTCCATAAAATACAGCAAAAGAACGAGGGCACCCCACTGATTTAGGTTTTCAGTCTGCAGGAAATAATTTTCCACATGCAAAGTGAAAAATGCTGTGGGGTTGAGGTGCTTAGACAGTAAGTAATGCAGGGGATATTCACACCCTGATGATGATTACAAGTACTCCCACTCCAGTGAGACCTCTGGGGAAAAAAAACCCAACAAACTGGCACCCTCTGAATTAACGGGCTTCTCTGTTTAGGTAAGATTTATTAGTTATCTTTACAGAATGAGCTCACTTAGAAACATGAATTTAATTCACCATTGTCTCAAGCTACTACTTATTCTCATGCAAACCAAAAGGCAATTTAGCTTTTTGATGAAAACTATTAGGACAAATTCACTTCAGTTTCAGCACTTTATATACTAAAGCTCATACTTAAATCCAGCTTCTTAGCTCTTGATGTTATAATTGCTTCCTAGTTTCTTTACATCAGGGTTAAGCAGATATTTTGTTCACCAATTAATTCTGTATTTACTGACAAATGTGCCTCATCTTTAAGTAACTGTTCATCACATTTAAGTAGGCTTCAGAAAGTTCAGGAGAAATTGAAGGCTGCATGAAAAAGACATTAAGGCAGAAAGGGAGCAATGTAAACCCAGTTCTGCTGCTTGATCATGATATATACAACCTGGAAACTGCGAGAGAACATACCGCCTCTTGTCCAGCACATGCTGCCTCTTGTCCAACAGGAACAAGAGGGAAGGACTGGGATGATTACACAAGAAGAAACCAGAATTCTAGCCACAACAGAAGAACAGTGGGGCTGCAGTAGCAGCACTCTGCCCAGTGGGACCTGGACTGGGCACAGGAAACCAGAACAGAACTGACCTCGATTGACGCAGGGCTGCAAACCCATAGAGTGACTACTTATGGAAGACTATGAACTTCAGACAACAGGCCCTGCTTATCCAGAGATCTCATGAACTACCAGAAAGTCAGTACAATTCCTCTGCATATTAAACCAACAGGTAATCAGCTACTTTTGGTAACTACTTTTGTTGAAACAGAAGTTGAAGAAAAGCGGTGGAGAAAAAGTGAAACGCATTATGCAACAGCAATATGAATACAGCAGGTTTAAAGAATCATAGAATCCCAGACCGATTTGGGTAGGAAGGGACCTTGAAGCTCATCCAGTTCCAACCCCCTGCCACGGGCAGGGACACCTTCCACTAGAGCAGGTTGTTCTAAGCCCCTGTGCCCACCCTGGCCTTGAACACTGCCAGGGATGGGGCAGCCACAGCTTCTCTGGGCACCCTGTGCCAGCGCCTCAGCGCCCTCACAGGGAAGAACTTCTTCCTAATGTCTCATCTCAATCTCCCCTCTGTCAGGTTAAAGCCATTCCCCTTTGTGCTGTCCCTACAGGCCCTTGTCACAAGCCCCTCTCCAGATTTCTTGTCACCCCTTTAGGCACTGGAAGCTGCTCTAAGGTGTCCCTAGAGCCTTCTCTTCTCCAGGCTGAACCAGCTCAGCTCTCTCAGCCTGTCTCCAGCCCTTAAAGCATCTTAATGGCCTCCTCTGGACTCGCTCCAAAAGCTCCATGTCCTCTTATATTGTGAGATCTTTCATGTTAGGTGGCAAACTCTTCCATCCTCCAATAGCTATTCTTCCAGAGCGTTAATTAGTAAAAAGCCATGCACCCTCTCTTCTCCTGACCCTGCACGCACTTCCTCTGCTGCAGGCAAGCGTCACATTACAGGCATAGGCTTGGCTTGGACTATAGTTCTTCAGGCAGTATAGCAAAGATGACTAAATGTACTTACTCTGGAATTAGTTTCTTTCCATTACTTAAATAAAAATGCTTAGCAAAACTTACTCATTCAACCCAGAAAGCACAAGCATTAATTGTTTACCTTCAGAGCAAATCCTAAGGGAAGGAAGAACAACTCTTTCTGAAAAATGAAGTTTACCATGACACAACCATTTTCCAAGTAGTGAAGGTTCATATTTATTGCAGTGTGCTCAGCCTTAACACAATGCATCACCACTCCTGCAAAAATGAACACAAGCAAAGACCAATGTGAGCTGTACAAATCCAGCTGGCTGCACTGCTGTGACGTGTCTGAGCAGATGTAAAACAATTGCATCAGAGAAACTTTGGTACTTGGTGGCTGAGAATACAAGACAGATCACTAGCTTCAGCATTAGGTCTGACATTTCAAATAAATACACCAGCTCAATTCACCAAGTAGTGGACAAATGTCTCAGGACAGCCAGAACCCTCGCTGAGAGGCTTGGAAGATGCATAAAGAGAAAAGCCAAGCCTGAGGCCTCAACTATTCTGCCTGCAAGCTCTGCTGTAAGATTCAACAACGCACAAATAATCTTCCTAATTGCCCTCTGGGTGAAGTTTTCACATCTCTGTGCTCGGGTGGTACCACTGAGGCAGTGTTTCCTGGTCCTGTCCCATGCCTGGCCCTGTCCTGCTGCAGGACAAAATAAAACCAAATGGGACCATTTAAATTGACAGTGCCTTGAAATTACTCTGGAATTACAGTGTGTGCTCAAGCAACACAGTCCAGTCAAGTCAGCAGCTGGTAACACCTGAGTTTAAAGCGTAAATCTCTAGCTTAATTCAATTTTAAACTCCTTTTACTAAGTATGCATGACACAGGAATGGGACAGCCAAGAATTTGGTTAATCTCTTCCACATATATTAAATCTGCCAACTCAAATAAGTTGGCAAATGGATAAGCCAAATTCAGCCAGACAAGTTGAGCAGTTTACACTGACTTCTACTGAAGACAAGGTTTTAGTTACACCTTCCACATAACAAAAGGTTACATGTACTGCAATAGAGTTGCCTTGCTCAGCATGGGGAGCTCAGACAGCTCCCATAAAGCAAGCATCTGCCTCGTGCTTGCACTATTATGTAGTAAAAAAAAATAACATTACACAAGAGCTACAATAAACCAAACTAACAAAAGTCAGCTCTAGATGGTCACTCTTGTTTGTCCTCAAGTAGTTACAAGCAGGATGCTGCAGGAAGCACTCAGCTTACCATACTCTGTGAAACCAGGGCCTCTGTTTTTCCATTTGTGTCTTGTCATTGCAAGAGGGAAGTTTCGCCTGGGCATAATCAGCATCCTAATAACCTTTTCTAAGCCATTAACTATAAAGTAGCCTCCCATTTCCTGGCAGGGGAAGAAGAATTATTTTAATGTGCTTAGAAAATTCATAACCCAGCATTTTAAGTACAAGACAAAAATGACTGAATTATACAGCAAAATCAAACATTTAATGTTTTAACTATGAAACACATAACAAGACGTATGTTTCAGCACTACATTTGGAAAGGCTGCTCTCCTTGCCAGTGACTACTAAGTCTAAATGTAGCACACAGTGCAAGGAAAGGGATGCATGCTCCATAATTTAAAGGAAGGAAGAAAAGAAAAATGCAACCTGTGTGGTCAACTGAACAGCTTTGTAGAGCTGACATGAACTACTATTTAAATAAATACTCTGAAGTTCTGAAACCAGAGGGATCTTCAGCGCAGAAACCCTCTTTCTGGTCACATAAAAGCTTAACACTGATAAAGTTATAGTTTCCCAAACAGTATGTATTCAAAGACACCTGTGACTGCAAATTTTGACATGATGCTGTATGGAACCACCATAAATAGGGTGGTTTACATTCAGAGAAAAGAGAAAGTCAAACTGGAACAAAATATAAACACTAGAGTAAAGAGAAGCTGCCTGATACACTGCTCATGTAAAACCCAGATTTTCCTGACCCACAAAATCCCTGTTACCTCTTCCTCCTCATGGTGCTGCATGAGCTCTTGTGGAGAAAGATTATAGAGGTTGCATAGTTTGGACTTCACCATGATTGGAATATACCCCAGAGGATGTTTAATTGTCCCTTGTGGCATGCCATTCACTGACCAGCTGATGTCAGCCTGAAATGATACGAAGCAAACAATGAGCAAATCCCCCTTTTAATCTTTTCTGCTGTATTAACTGTACATTTAATATAACCATAATCTGTTAACTTCCATCACTGTAAAAATAGTAATGATATATAATAAAAAGCAGAACTACTAGATACAGGCATAAAGATTGCACTCTGGAGAACAGTCAACATGGGTTTACAGAAGAAGATCATTCTAGTCTAGAACTAGGTAAAGAAGCTTCTAGGAGTGCCGATACAGTCCACTCAGCTTCTCAGACCCTCCAACAGAGCAGCCTAAATGAAAAAGGCAGCCACAGGATAGGAAAGGAAACCTCAGAAGTTAACAAACAGTTAAAAGCAGAAGAAAACAGCGCTCAATGGAAGGACATCCACCCGACAGTCTGCAGACCTTTCCTAAGACTTGTTCACTTAACATGATCACAAGTGATCTTTCATGTGTCTGAAAGAAAATTATGTATTTACACTAACAAGATCAGGCAGTGGGTCTGCAGAAGGACTCCTTGACTGCACATAACAAGGTGATAAAACACACTGTGGGAACAAAAGTTCTGTCCCAACCGCTGCAAACGTTTACACAGGTTCAAAAACAAACCCAAAATAATTAAACATACATTGGAAAAAAAAATGAGACGGGACGTAATTCGGGTATTAAAAATAAAGCATGTCTAGCTCAGAAAAATCTAAGAGCCATGGGAAAGACTGTGAACAACGTGGAACTGCCCCACTCTCATGTTCAGATAAGATCCTGCACTTGCAGCTGCTTTTATCACTGTAATGCTTTGGACAAAGGAAAATTAAAACAACTGAAGTTGCAAACATCTCCCTTGCACGGGGTGCAAAGGAAAATATTTGCTGGGGTTGCTGCTTCTCCTCTAAGCAAATTTCAGAGCAATTCAGAAAAGTGGTGAACATACAGTGTGAATTTATAGCTCTGAACTATGTGGGAACAACACTGCTTTTGAAACCTCGATTCCTGCAGAAACAAGACTGGGATTATCACACACTCTGGGATGACACAGGTCTCCTTCCAAGGTCTTCTAAACAGGCTGGCTGATTGCAAAGCAAATCTGACAGTAAAGAACACAGGTAGGGTCCTGTGTAAAACCCTTGACAAAACCAAACTGGCCAGCACTGTTGCTCCGCTGGAGGGTAGGAAGGCTCCACAGAGGTATCTGAACAGGCTGTGGCCAATGGTGTGAGGTTCAACAAGGCAAAGTGCTTGGGCCACACCAACCCCATGCAACTCTCTAGGCTTGGAGCAGAGTGGCTGGAAAACTGCTCGGTGGAAAAGGACCTGGGGGTGTTGGTTAATGGAGCTGAACATGAGCAGCAGGTGGAATCACCATCCCTGGAAGTGTTCACAAACCGTACAGAGAAGGCCCTCAGTGACATGGGTTAGTGGTGGCCTTGGCAGTGCTGGGGAACGGTTGGACTGGATGAGCTTGAAGGTCTTTTCCAACCCAGCTGATTCTGTAAGCCACTGACTCCATGAACACATGGACAGGGAGGTGGGGCCCATGAGGAGCTCGGTTTGAAGGGAGGTTTGTGCAGTGAGCTCGTACTTCACCAACACTCAGAGCTCTTCGGAATTGCCCCGGTGCAGGTGAACCCGGGAAGCGGGCTTTAACTAAGGGGGTCTTTAACTTCAGGCTCAGCCGGCTTTGC